CGAGGCTTTATTAGTAAAGAGACCAACAATATTAATTATTAAACATGTTATTTTTAATATTCTAATGCATAATAGACATCTTTGACAAATGCCAACTGAATGTTGAACCGAGTTGTAATAAACTTTAGTGCTGCTGTTAAAATATGTATTTATCCACAGGGCTGTTTTTCTCCCAGCCATTGGGTGGCAGTATAGAGCATGGGGGTGATGGAGAGAGATGTTGTTGGTGCCCTTTGCTAGGCCTGGGGGTGGATGTTGTTAGCGCTGTCTACATCCGCAGGGTAGCGAACACTCCCATGGGACAGTTCTCCGCTTGTTCACTCATGTGTGTGATAGAACAGTGCAGGCAGGGGGTTACCGGCTCTACGACAGTCCACCCTTATTGATTAGATAATCAGCCTGTCACCTAATACCAGTGTTCTTTACATTGTCCCCTGCTGGGACGAACATGACTGTTATTGCTGACAGCAGGGGATTCCTGCAACAAGCACCTTTTATGTCCACTATTCTTTTCTATCACTCTTTCCTGCTTCTTCCTCTCTCGGACTATGGGAAGAGTGTTTTCATTATTTGCCAAGATTGGTATGTCAATCCTTTTGCCCCTGACCCGAGTTTAGAAATGCTTTGGGTTTTATTGGAGGAATGATTACTGAGTTATCTTGCAACCTCACTCGGAGGCCTTTATACCTCCACCCTTAGTATACCTTCAGGCAAGGATTGGATTTGATACCCAGGACAGTACCTTGGGAACCGCTCGCTGTCTACTTTCTATCTCTTTCTATTGTTTCGCTGTACCCCCCATTTCCTAAATGTGTCTGAGTGTTGCTTATTCAGTTTTCTTTTTTTTTTTCAGCATTTCCCCTTGTCTCTCTGACCAACTAAGTTTATGCAGAGGACAAATGTGAGTAGGGTAACACAGTGACAGTGTCCCGACCACCTTCCCCTGAGGGTCACGGGTGTCGTGACCCTGCAGCAGGTGCCGCTGATCTCCTTGCCCAATCGCTGTCCCAGTTTCCCAGATCTCTTTCCACACCTGAACTATGATTATGAAGATGTAACATAAAGTGCAATCATGATTACTATATCATTACATATAATATTCTTTTAAATTAAATTAAACATTTGAGTGAATGGAAATAAAATGTAAACACCAAGCTAATATTATATTTTGGCTATAAATAACTACCGTTTACAAGCTTCTAATTGTAACTGTCTTTTTTAGAGAAACGCTTTAGAGATGTTTCCATATATATACTTAATAATTATTTATAATAATAAATAATAAAAATAGCAATAACATAATATATATATATATATATATATATATATATATATATATATATATATATATATATATATATATATATATATATATTTATTATTATAAATAATTATTAAGTTAATACATTTTAATTAAATGTAGAGGTTTGTTTTAATGTCCAGAAAAGAGACATAGATAAATAGAAAAGGATGCACATGTTCATTTTTCTTATAGCCTATTGAATTTCAGAAAAGCTACGTGACAAAAAATGGCAATCGTCAAAAAAAAAACATGGGAAAAAGACAGTCGCCCAAATCACGATGCAAATTGCACTTTGATTGACTCTTAATTTCATCTGAAGGCTGTTTTGTTTGGTTTTTATTCTGAGTCAATGAGCTTAATCAGAGTCACTGATCCTGCGGCTCTAAGCCCTCCGTGTTGTGTTTTTGTTTGTCGGGAGATCAGCGAGACTCTATCCGCACTTCATTAACCCTGAGCCGGGGACAATCCTCAGTAAGAGCCGAGGGATTTACCACTATCCTTTCACATGCAAAAATCTCTGCGTCTATTAACAAGACGGAGGAGCTTTTCTTGAAATCAGCTGCGCACTTCGCAAGAATAACCCTTTTCATAAATATTGAGGGGGGTCATCAGCCTCCTTTGGATCATGTGCAGATCCATGTGATAATTTAAATGTTCTATCTGAGTTGGTCTTTTTTTTTTTTTTGCTGAACATTTTATTTGAATCTCTTGTATTTTATATTATTATTGCAATTATTGTATTAATATTATTGCCATTATTGCCTCTTTTTGATGGTTTTGCAATATTTTACGCAAAATAAGCATGCCAAAAATAACTTTGAAATTGTGCTTTTTTTGTTGCTAATTTCTCAACCTCAATAACAAACATTTAGTGAAATGATGTTGAAAATGTTTTCTTTCTCCTTGAGTGATTCGTGGGCAGGAGCCCCGCAGAATGACATGTGCTATGCGAAAGTTTGCTGCAGGAGCCCGACTGATCACCACGTTATCGACGTTCAATTAAAAGCTATTAAGGTCTTTTGTCTGCTCGTTAATTTCCCATTCAGTCGCCCTGTCAGCAGCCCCTAAACCCTGAGCTCTATGGACCGGTCTCATGGTTGGGTTAAAGTCAGTCTTAGGCTCACGGAGGGGGGATGAAGGGGGGGTCCCGTCATGCCGCTGACCAGATGTCCCCTTGCTGATCCGAGCCGCAGTCAGCACTGCCCGGTGACCAGCTGTTGGGAGCGTTTGGCAAAGAGCAGCAAACTAACACTCTCAAGAAAGGCTATGGAAAGAATCCATTTCCAAATGGGATCATTTAGGGCACTTAAACAATTACACACTTAGGTGACCATTAATATTTCATCCACATATTGTTTATGAAAACTAAATGAAACGACAAGGTGATGCTGTTATAAGAGTGCAAAGAAGTCTGTCACTTTACTCTTGTAGACACAAGACAATGGAGGCTGACAAGTGTTGAGTGTGTGCGTGAGAGAGAGCGAGATGCCCAATGCCCAATCTCTTCAGTATTTCCCTTTTTATCATGCTGCCATTAAAAGGAACATCGTTTAAAATGGTATTGAAATTGGCTCATATGATTCATGATCAAAATTATATTTAACCCATCAATAAGAGGTAGTCGCGTCTAACTTTAAAATATGAAGGTAGAATTAAGTTCCCTAAATCTCCAGGCGTTTCTGAAAGGTTAGGTTGGTGAACGTGCGCTTACTTGGGTGCGACATTCTTATTAACTTTTTTTTTTGTGGTATAGGTTCGACAAATTAAATCCACGATGCTAACCAAATAGTGTGGGGTTTGAGCAAAATGTCTGACAGTCATGTTTAAAATTATTCAAACACATTTGCCAGTAATAGAGTTCTCTGAGTTCGAATTTTATGATATTGCTATCACTGGCGTTGTTTACGTTTATTTTCATAAGCAAACTTTTCCTTTTCATTAAATTACTATGTAAAAATCCAGATACATTTCAAAAGCAATGACTTGAAGTTGACGTAGGCTAAGCAGTGCAACTAATATGCGTATTTTATTGGTTTTACTTTTTGTGTGTGTGTGTTTCATGCTGAGACTTAGTCCTTTATAACTTTCAAAATTAAAACCCAATTTATGCTATTCAAGATAAACATGAAGTCTTTGGAGGTCTTTCAGGTATGGAGGTACACATAAATCATTATTTTAATGACTATTTATTCCATTTATTCTATCCTCCAAAATATAAAATGTATAAAATTAAATAAATTATCAAATTATAATTTTGTGTTGGCACTTGGTATACATCATATGTAATATTTTATTATGGAATTAGCTACTTCAAAGATTGTTACTGAAATAGTTTAGAGTTATTATTCAGGTAGTTAAAAAATAAGAATAATTATAGAATGCATTTGTTTTTGTTTTTATTTTATTTCACGTAGAACTTCATTGGTCGCAGCACATTTTATGTTCATAATGACACATACAATGGTTGCAAGTTCTTTTCCTTGTTGCAAAGTGCAGTGGTAAGTTTTGCAATATGATTTTTCTTAATTCATACACTTTTATGTGGCAGTGTTCAGGTCTGGCACGCGCATTATGCACCGGCATACCTTTTATATTGGCTGTTGGTTTAGTGTAATTGAATTGTCTGTGAGAACACGAGTGTGTGTTTATCCAGTATTGGTATAGGCTACCTCCACATTCTCAGTCAGTGGTAAATTAATGAAAGATCTTTATTAGCACATTTATAAAAGTAATTCTCCTTGCGTAAAGACCACCTTCCCCCGCACATCCAGCAGGTTTAAGAGTTTTCCAGAAGTTCACACCGCTAAGCACACGGGGGCACGAACGAAAATCATTTGGGATTACGAGAATCATTACTTCACAAATCATTATTCTCAATATACAGCTTCACCAAAAGAATGACAAGATATTTCAACGGTTTTATACAGAGTTATTGCACAATGCCTGGGCGAACACTTCATTTCCTTGAAGTCTTATTGATCACAAAGTGATCTGAAACGAGGACTTGGCGTTTTCCCATCAACATCAAAGTGATACTGCTGGCAGTTGTGCAGGATTACAGAAACGAAAAAAGCAGCACAAAAATAATCGATTGATAATCGATTAATAATCCATATCGTCCAATCCACCTGCTTGTTCTGTTTAGGTATGGAACTCCGTATACCATTTAACTGTTTGTCAAATAGCAAATTGATACTTCTTCATTTAAGTTGCTTTTTCATTTTGTAGAGACGTTTTGATTTCTAATGTGCTGCTCACGTCAATCTCACCTGTTAACGTAAGGCTTGGAAATATGATACAAAAAGAGAAAATTCGAGATTTGTCTTTCAACATAAAACAAAATATTCTTATTTACACTTCTTTTCCTATGTACATTTTAGAGTGTCACTACAAAGCCCAGGATTTATTAACGATCTCAGGATAATTAAATATGAATCTACCATTTAAATATTCTTTGCGCCAGGGATTCACCAACAATTCACATTTGTATTATTGGCTAGATAAAGTAATAATAATAATTTGTTAAACGAAGCGTCCCTGTAAGTAGGCATGTCCCGCTCTTGTTGCGTTCAGTAGACTCAGTGTTTGTATTTGTTTTCTCCAGATTTAAGCTTTAGGGTAAACCAAAACATATAAGTAAAAAAAAAAAATACGAAAATAAATAATTAAATAATGTTGAAAAAATGTCTCTAACCACTTTTTGTGTCTCAGCTTGTTTTTGTGGCTTTGTAATATATTTCGAATATTTTGTCACCAATAAAATTGTTCTTTAATGGTGGAGTTCAGAGCTGCCATGTATTGCACCGAGTCCGAATCGCGGCGTTCATCGCGGTGGCGTCGGTCTGGACAGCACACCGGAGAGGGGGGGCAGAGGCGGCGGCTCGTTGGCGCCCTGGAGACCGTGCAGGAGAATGCGGGGAACGAGAGGGCGCTGTAGCGCCGGCGGGGGCGCCGAGGGTCCCCTGTATAAGTACAGCGCTGCTCCAGGGTCCAGATTCGACACCAGGCTTTGAGGGTAGAAATACGGCGAGGGGAACATCCTTTGCAGCGCAGAATAATTTCCAGCCTCCGCTAACAATTCCAGTCCGACCGCCGTTTGCCTCTTCCACTTCGTCCTTTTTTTCCAAGAGGAAAGAGAATAATGTCAGTATAGAAAAAAATGATTCAGTGACTAGTGTTTTATATACTCATACAAATATGTGACAATAGAAAAGAAATATCACCGTATTGCACTACTATTCCCAAGCGAAACACAAAACCCAGAGTTCAGAGAAATAAAAACTGAATCCTCTGTGATTTATCTCCTATTTCTAAGTATCTGTATGAATATCAATTTTAACGACACAATTCAACGTTAAGGAGAGAAAGGACAAAAAAAGAAAAGAAAACAGAGTCTTTTACATCTAAAATGTTAATAAAAGTGAAATTAGATTAAATGCCTCTCCATATGAGGGACATAAGTGCTGAGAGTTATGGGAAAGTTTCTTACCTTAAACACAATTAATGTGAATTAAATGTCAAAAGTATTTGGACATTTAATTCACATTAATTGTGTATATAAGGTAAAAAGCAGGCATCAAAAGACACATATTTTAGTAATTAGTTTTAACAATAATTAGTCATTTTATCTAGTCGAGGACGCATGCATCGACTAAACGTTCTATCTGTATATTTCAAATCTATTCGCTTGGCACGAAATTAGATGCTGCGAGAATGGGAAAATGTGCAAACAAACCACTTGTAGATGTTCAATATATCTATTGATGTATTTTGATTGTTACTGTAATGTTCTCCTCTTTTTGCGAATTTTATTATTGGTTCCATTTTGTAGTTCTTACTAAAGCTATAAAATAAGAATGACAGTTAGAGCCTCTTCAAACATGAAAAAGTTAGAATTAGAATATTTTATTCTAATATGTTTAAATGTTAAAAATGTGGATATTAATTCTGCAGCATTTCCTTTCGTTTTAGTGGAGAAAAACTGAAGCAACGACGTCACCTGACATGTATTATTGTTTTTGGCAGGAGACTCCACAATCAAAGGGAAAATAATATGATATAGGCCTAGAAGCACATTTTTGTCAATACGAGAAAATTACCTAGACATTGATATCAGAATAATTACAATTTTATTTCTGCAGCCTATTATTTGAATGTTTCTGGGATGGATGTGTGCATGTATTTCTGTTTCCAGCTGACCACATGCTCACCTCCTGTTCTGGTACCAGGTTTTGACCTGCGTGTCGGTCAGGTTGAGAGATGCTGCCAGCTCCATTCTGTCCTGCACACTCAGGTACTTCTGACGCTCAAAACTGCGCTCCAGCTGGGCGAGCTGATGGTCAGTGAAGGCGGTCCGCGCTTTCCGAGGCTTCTTCAGGCGAACCTGCGGGCTGTCTCTGCTGCTCGAGATCTCCCTGTCGCCCTCCTCTTTCACTAAAAACATCACATATAACGGAAGGGCATTGATTAATCCACTTTAACACGAGTTAGTTAGCCAGCCCATGTGTTTCACTATTGACAAGTCGTTATGGTGTCAAAGGTTTCCACACATCCTATGCTAAACCCTTGATGTTCTCGTGCGTGCCTGTAATTCTTTCAAGCAGTTTTCAGATTTTATTTTCAGAATTTGAATACACGAGGTCTGTGATATTTAATTTACCAATATCTCCTATCGAAACTCTTTTCTCTCTGAACCCAGAAAGAGAGGGACACGACGCGAGAGACCTTGCCAGTCGAGTAGTTGAGTCGTATCTCAAGGAGCACAATAATCCGGCTAATTGAGCCACAAGGGATGGAAACCTTTCAACCGAGACCGGAGAAACTTCACAGGGACGGGGATAAGAGCGAAATAAAGAGCGGACCGACCCCGTGCGTTACAAATCTGATTAGCACTGGGACAAATTGCATCAAATCCCTGAAATATAAGGGCAAAAATCAAAGAGGCGCGCACACTCTTTACAAGCGCTCTGGAGATGGAATGGCTTTGATTTGGAGAGCATTAATTTTGATCACCGCGCCTATAGACTTGCCAAGCTAATAATTTCATGATGTGAGAGTAGAAATATATTTGGAATCATAGCTGAAGGTTTAGGAGAATAGATGATACCCATCATGCCCTACTTCCACAAAGAGAGCAAGATTGTGATAACACTTTAACAAAATTATCAGAATCAGTAGCGGCAACACCAGTCAATAGGCCAAATACATGAACACCAACAATCATAAACAAGTGCAAATCATAATGCTCATATAACAAAATAAAAATATAATAACAATGATATTATTTGTAATAGTAATACTATTAAATAGTAATAAAAAAAAACTTCTAGACATTGAAATTATGGCATATTCCTACATTTATCAATATAGTGTTGGCCTTTGTGTTTGCATCATGGAATCAACCTTATGTCACAGGAAACGCTCTTTCACTCTGTTTTTCCTCAGATGTAATTTCACCTGGACAAATCCTTAATTAATCTTGCTGATGATGTTTCTTTGTTCACCTTCCTTTCCCCTGCTCCTCACAATAAGCTTTAAACTAATAAGCACGTTAAAATGTGCAATAACATACACTTGCAACATAAACAAAATTGAATGCACTGAAGCCACAAAAATCTATTCAATATTTTTGCACTATGCATTTATTTCAGTAAATATATTTTATATGAATATTACGATAGTTGCTTGTAAATGTTTTTTGAAAAGGAGGATTATGTCGTGCTTTCTATCTATCTATCATATAGCCTAATCTGCTTTTTTATAGCAAAACTGGCTATAATTGAACGAATGAAATGAATAAAAGAATCATGAACATTATTTTTATTTCTACCCCTAAATTACTTTAAAAACATAGCCAAGGATAGTCAGCAAGCCAGCCTGCTTGACCTCTTTGCTATATAAATATGTCAAGTTATAATTCATGTTACTATTAAAATAGCCTTAAAAAACGAGCAGTTATTTTTTTTACCTTTGTATTCACTGTCTGACGATGAGTTACTGTGGATCTTTTCAATGAAGTCGTCTGCGATTTTAGATGCCAGTCTCCCTGTCTCCTGTGTCGGCTGGCCGTTACTGGAGTATGGGGCACACGCCGCTAAGGGTTTACAGTCAGCCAGAATATCTCTTATTAAGAAGGATGAAGTGACAGTCCGAGGTTGAGATCCAGCAGAGATCGGGCCGTGCTGTAAATGGGACGCGAGCACGAGCGGGTGACCCTGTCTCTGCGCCGCATCCTCACCGCACTCCCGCCTCGGAGACGGAGGAGAAGAACAACCGCTCTCTAAGTCTGACCTGGGGCTGAACTCCAGCGGGGATCGGCATTCCCCTACCAAACTGTCCCCCTTCGCGATGACTGGGCTTCCTGGCCTGTGAGATAGCAGGGAGTCGATTCCAAAACTGGAGCCGTTGGTGGACGCTTCCATCTCCACACTGCTGCTTGCGTGAAGCTTCTGTTCAGATTATCATCTGTATTCAACCAAGTTCTGCGTGAATGGCGCTCGATTTAATAGCGATCTATCCAGGAGAAAAATCCAAAGCGGAATCGGAAATGAGAAATATTCATCCCCTGTTTGAAAAAAACAACAACTTTCTTCTTCCTTGAGGACTTTTAGTTTAAGTTTAAAAAGAAAAAGGAGGTTTCTTGAGGAGGTTCTGTATGAAGTACACAGACCCTGCCTCCAATTTTTTTTTCCTCACTCACTCCTTTAAAAAAAAAAAAAAAATCGATACAGCCTAAATATACTCTAGGCTGGAAAATTTAATTATTTTTTTTCAATCCCGGTATTTTTCGAAGACGCGAGACGCATCGATGGTGGCTTTGAATTATTTATCAAATTATTTCGAAAAGCTGTTCTGAAGTAACAGTGTTAGTGTAAAACCACAAGGTAGCCTACTTAGAGGGCGCGCGCATTTCAGCACCACGGACAGAAGCAAAGCGGCAGCAACTAGAGCCTCGCGCTATTGAGCATCTGAAATTTTCATCAGTTCAAAGGCAGTTCGTTGAGGCGAGTTGTAGAGTGGAATCCGGATGGAAAAGGCAAGAGCATTCTGTGCCAGCGCAGGTGATGCAATGCGAAATCGTTGGACGGTAGAGCGCAGGGAAAAATGCTGCGAGAAGACAGAAGCACAAATGAGGTAATGCAGGTTAAATACACACATTGGGGAACGGAAAGTCAGATAAAGCCTAACAAATGAACTTGTGCACAACTCAGTGGCTAGGTTTTTAAGAGCACCCCTTCCACGTGAGTCCCCAGCGACTCGCTTCCATTGGTTAGGAGGTGTTTTGGGGTGTTGACTGGCTCGGCAAGATGAAACTGGACCCCCCCACGCCCAATAAACCCCTCCCCACAGGTCGCCCACTTTGATTAAAAGAGACACTGAATTCATTAGGAGACTGGGATCCAACTGTTTACAGGCAATTTTCAACACTGTTTGCTCTCATTACATCATTGATGAGCCTTATAATGGGGTTATTATAAGGAGTGGGGAGGTTCTTTCTCTCCTCTGCTCATAGCGCGCGTGCAGTCACGTCTTGACCACTTTTTCACAATTCCCATTTTTCTTATATAATTCCCTTATAGTTTCTACTAAAAGTTGAATTTAAGCATTGATGTTATTTAATTCTAATTATAATATTTGAAGACACTTCTAACATAAAATTGTGGCCTGAAGGCATCTAGATTTCTTTTTTAAAAAGCCAATGACGTGACGCTCACATTCTTATTCAAAAATACACAAAGAAATCCAATTCATACCCGAAATGACATAAACACATTTGTTGTGTTTTTTTCAGTTTCTATATTAAAGTCATTTTATTTATATTGAGGGATTAAAGTATCAAATATCTGGTTGTAAGTGAGAATGTAACAAAACAATTCTCATTAAAAAGCTGAATTTAAAAAAAGGGGAAACAAAGAAAAAGCAGGAATGTTAGCATACAAAGTTTTGAATAATAAATAAATAAGCAGAGATGCAATAAATGTTTTAATATATAAATGATTACCAATATTTGACATTTTAAATATTTGTCCGCCAAATCAAAGTTAGTGTGGCATAACCAACATGCAGGAAGCCATTTTGGTGTCATGTGACATGAGAATCATAAAACAGAGAGAACCCTCGTGACTGTGTTTTAATTATTAAAGTTTTAATAATTTCACATTTTCACATAAATATTGCATTCTGGTCGAATGGATTAAATTCTTGATATGTGTAGGCCTAATGCAAAACTGCATAATATATAATAGGCCATTTAAAAAATTTTTTTATAAAAATAATTATGTTTTTTACACTCAAGTGTATTGAGGAAACTATTTTAGTAGCCTAGCATATTTTTTTACACACTTGATATATTATTCAAATAATTTGATACTTATAGCCTATCGGAACGGCTTTCTTGTGTTTAAATTGTGTAAACTGTAGAAACACTATTGTCAACAAAACAACAACCCATATAAATAATGGTGATGTAAAAGAAAAAGAAAAAAAAAGTAAAAAGCCTAATTACTTACAGGCTATTATGCCACTACTAGGCCTACACTATTATTAGTGCTTTGTAGTTCTATCATCAATCGCCAAGATCAGAATACGAGTTGTATTTGTGCTTTAATACCATAACACAGGGCTGTCTGTTGCATTCGCTTGATACGTTAGTGTTCTTTTCTTTTTCCAATGCACAAAACACGATTATCGAACAACCGTGTCGTTTAGTTCATAACAACTATCTAATTTATGCAATGTTAATGAGCAATAATGAGGGCGACTACTCTTTCTGAAAGCCCAGCGTGACACAAAACTCTAACATGCATGAAAAACTATTGTCCTGCCTTACACGTCTTTCTCTCAAACAGTTAGCCCCTCGTGTTTTTTCGACAGGTCCCAATAATCGAGCCCCCCATCAGAACAGCAGATTGGAAGCGCTATTCGGCCGCAGACAACGGCAGGTTAGTGAATCCGCTCCCCGCTCCCAAGGGGTGTCAACGCGGCTGCAAGCTGTCACGATGAGGCGGGGTGCAAACGCACTCACTTTAGTTTAGAGTCTCATAAGGATGCCCACTGCGTGTGATGGCGATCTTTCTTTTCTTTCTTTTTTTAAGTCTCTGTGGCAGGCCATGACAGGAGTTATATCTAGCCTATCTGTGGTATGTTTTTGGCTTTATTTGTTAGATAAATAAAATCCAGACCTCTTAGTGCAGTGACAACAGGTGCGCTGAGACTTAATACTTTTTTTTAACTTAAAATGTTTAATAAAAACGAATCTTTATCTTTGATCAGTTAACCACTAAAGATAAAGTGCTTAATGGCTGCCTTAGTGTAAGGCTTCTGCTTTGCATTGGTTTTCCTTCAATTGTCCAAACCTTGAATGGCTCAAAAATTCTTTTCATTTAAAACACTAAGGCCTGGTGTTTTTTTTGTTTTTTTTGCATGTTATTAAATCCATCAAATTTAAAAATGACTCCAATTGTTTAACCAATGTGTTACCAAAATAATAAGTAAAAGCTATAAATATTAAGCAAAACTTAAAGAGTAATGCATTTATTTATGAGCTATAGATAGATAAATGCATTAGAATATACACACACACACAATTCTGCAAAAAGTCATACCAAATTGTTATTTATTTTATATGACTTATAACATTGATGAAGCTTTAGTGATTGACTTAATACCAATTCCATACCAAACCTTTCACAGAAATCCTGGAATCCTGCAACCGGAGTAAATCTCACAAGTTGGACAACAACTCATATAGAGGAAAGAAAATCAGGAACCTGACACACCAAATGGAGATGCACAGACACGTCCTTGAAAAATCTGTCACTCAAACACTTGTATTTAATGTACATCCTCTGATTGTTTGAAGATTTGAGGAAGAGGCAGAAGAGATGAGTGGCAAGAGGCTTCAAAGACGTTTGATCTCTCCTCACCTCAGGTGAAAACAATGTTTTGAATTTCATTTATTTATTCTGTTCCATGTTTGTTAAATATATATTTGGATATGTTCAGGAAAATGGTACGTCGTTCCTGGATAAACTTTGGCATCGCTGTCATTTTGAAACATTGAGTAAAACATGCCTTGGATAAAAAAAAAAAAAAGATGTGTAAAAGGAATGAAATGTTGACTTCAGTCAACAAACAAACATTGTACGGAGAAAAAAAAAAACGGGCACACCCTGGACCAGTCAGCGATGCAAATGATGCACCTTAAAGCCATCAGGTGTGAGATTTGACAGAAAATAATGAGAACCGCTGAATCTTTTATAAGGTTAACACTCACATTTCCCAGTCAGCTGTCACACAAGAAAGACTTTAGCGCATTCACGCTGGAGAAATATACCTTTATTGGCTCATTAAAGCTGACAGGGGGTTCGGGACCGCCAGCACTCGGGCTCGGGACCGCCGGTGCGCCACCCCGTTTTGTGTCAGTAATTTGCAGAGGAGATACACCTACCTTGAAAAAAAGAAGGGGAAAATTATGAAGGGAGCAAGAATGAGAGAGTGAAATGGCAGAAGCTGGTGGGGCGAGTGCCGAAAGATGGGGGTGCCAGAGGTAGGGGGGGTGTAAGGAAGGGCCTTGGGGGAGGGTGGAAAGATCGCTAGCACGCCAGGAGTCTGATTCTCTCCTAATTGGAAGCATTGGGCATTGTCAACTGAGGATTTTCAGTCGCTCACTGACAGGTAGAGTCGTCAGGATGATAGCCCACTTGTCAGCGCAAAACACCAATAAAAACAAACCACTTTTGATTTAATTGGAGGCCTAGCCGTAGTGGGCTAGGACTGAACGGGTTGGGGGTTGTGGATTGCTTCAGGGAAAAACCGGTATGTGCGAGTGTGTGTATCGAAGGGTTGTTTGACAAAGAAATCATCACTTTGTGTAAAACCACCCGGAGCAGTGGCTCACATCGTCAGATAGAGGAGAGCAGGTCGTCGTTATTCTGTGTGTGTGTGTGTGGTCACTTCCCATGGTGCTGAGGTTACAGGAAACACAGAGTTTGATTTGGTCTCTAGAGGCCCAAAGGCTGTTCAGCACTCATCACTTCGAGTGTTTCTTCTCAAAAATGCACGCTCAGAGAGATATTGATATGGTGATACCTCAGAGAATGAAGCAGAAGAAGAGCTGACCCTACCTGACTTCTGCTACAACCACCTCACCAAGTGCAAAAAAAACCCTTTCTGCCTCTCATCTCTGCAGGTGGAATCACATTCTACACCACCAAACTGAAATCACGGTATTCAGCAAACTGATTTTTCTTCATGTGAAAATGCTGTATTTGTTTGCTATGCAAGGTATAAACAAACAACTGGATACTTCGAGTGGTGATGCTTGTTAGTTTTAATGGAGCATATACTGATCATTTCGAAACGAACAGATTATATTGTATGAAAAATTTGATTGAGCTTTAAAATATCACATTAAAATGTACAATATCTAAAAAACTCGCCCAAAACAAGGCAACTGGGTTTGCTACAGTGGTATAAACACAGCCACTGGTGCTCATTGGATACATGAGAGGGAAATATCAGATGAAACAACTAAATATTCCAAGGCACTCACATGATTAACCGTAAAAATCCTTTAATAAACTGGTCTGAGTCATTTAAACATCAAAAGTGTTGATACACCTGTTTCTGCCTTCTTCAGGATCCACATCCATTGTTCACACAAGCATTC